TAGGGATAAGAGTTATATATTACAGTGTATATTAACTTATATAATATTAATTATTAAATAAGATATTTTATTTTATTTTGTTTTATAATTTATATTTTATAATTCAATATAATTTGAATTGAAAAATAAGAAAGAAATCACACTAGTGCTTCAAATACATTTTATTGATGCAATAAAAACATCTGACTTCTGACTTTTAACTTCTTAGACACTGGCACATGCGCACAACTTGAGAGCTGACACACATAAAGGCTAGTGGGAACTAAGATAAGATCATCATTCGTTCTAACTGTTATACCGAATGCCTCACTGATCATGTCTAGATCTTCTCCTTTCATTTCATTTGGTAGTTTCCAATCAAAATGGTAGAGAAGTTTCGCAAGAGGTAGCTCAATGTTGGGAAGTGCAACTGATATTCCTGGACATACCCGCATTCCTGCTCTAAATGGGATAAACTCTAAAGCTGTTCTCCAAAAATCCAATCAACTATCAAGATATCTTTCGGGAACAAATCGTTCGGCTTCACTCCAATACTCAGGATCTCTTGCTATCGCCCATGCAATGTCTTGTGTCTTTTCAGGTATATGATATCCCTTTGATTTCACCTTTTTTTCTACTTTCTCTTGGTAACAGTAGAGGCAAAGAAGGTTGTAGCCTGATGAGTGTTTCTTTGATTACTGCTGTTAAGTATCTTAATTCATGAATGCTTGCTTCATCCACATCTCCTTGTTTGTCAAAGACTCTTCTTACCTCCTTCTGTGCCTTTTCTAGCACCTTTGGATTTTTTACCATTTCCGCCATTGCCCAGTCCAGAATTGTTGATGATAGCTCACTTCCCTCGCTGAACACATCGTGAATCATAAAATACCGAATGTTAGTATAGGATAATGATTCAGCCAACAAGTTAATATTATATTGTGTTTACCTGTAGATCTTTACAATTTTTCCAGGTAAAATTCTTCTTCAATTTCTTACTAAATATATAAATATATATATTTTGAACATGAGAGCA